CTCATCAGGATGAATTACATCATACTGATGCATCCATATATCGAGCTCATATTCATTCATATTCTACTTAATATAATTATCATAAAGACTTAGTATGACTATTTTGCAGAGTGCTAGTAGAGTGGATAGGGTTTCTTGTTAACTAAAAAATGTTATCGGTTTATAACAGTATGCAAAAAAGATAATATCTGTCGTTTCCTATAAACCTGCATTGATAGGTGTTATGAATTCATATCTTATTTACCTTTTGTAGTACATATAATTTGATAGTAGAGCCCTGTAATTAACAGTTCGGTATGTGCCAATCTATTAATGACTTGCAGTTTAGCTAATAACAAGAATAACAGACAACAATATGGGATATTCTAAGGGTTATGTGTTCTCAGATACCGTTTCTATGCCCAGTGAGCAATCAACGTTTTCTACTTATTTGGGAGTATTTAAAAGTACATGTAAGATATTACGTAATACATCTACAATCGCATTTTAACTACTTATTTGTGTATATATTATTGTGTCATGCAATTTTCTCACATATAAAGCATCCGTTTAACTATGTCTAATAATCGTTTGTACAGAGAAATTTAACATAGACTATTGGAATCACCAAAGTAGTATGCATATATCATTATTCGGCAAGTAGTTCATTAACCTATCATAGAACATATATCTGAATATTGAACTAGTCACATTAATTTACTAATTTTAAAATAATCAAGCGTTTTTTTCTTGTCTCACTAAAACAATCTATACTGATTTTTTTTAATTTTTCAAGTGGTTGATTGTTAATAGAAATTCAATTGTAAATGATGTAAGACTTTTACGGCATAAATTAATATAAATTTTATCATTTTGGAAATAATAGTAATTAACCAAACAGAGAGGTGAAAAAGTAGTGACATAATTTTTTGTAAATTCAAAAACTGATTATTTCAAGTGAACATTGTGAGTTGTGGATAGCTTAGAAACAAAACTTATTTATATATTCTGTTTCTATCAAGGTTGGCTTTTATCGTGCAACATTTTCGAGAGCAAAAAACTTTAATAGTAGTGATAGATGGTGGCTAGCATTGGAATCTAGGGCACTCGTTCCGTTCTATTTGAGACTCATCAGCTGGATGTATTTGAGATAGTTCAGTGGATAACGCTATGGCGTTTGAAACAAACGGTACTGGTTTCGATTCCCAAAGTGGACATCAACTTTAGGATGCAGGTACATTCAACTGACGAGTTCTATTTAGGATGTAACGTACGTCCTGTATTCAACTGCTGGCCACCATCCATCTCTGCCTATAATGCTTGTGACTTAAGGCAATATTATGACAATCCACACAGGATGCATATATACCAATAAGAGACTGATCAATTGCAGTTCTAATCATTCAATCAGTCTCAACGTGGAACCTGTGCCTATGTATATCGGTTCAAGTTGCCATATCACATTAGCACAGAGAAGTGAAATTATCAGGCCGAATTCCACAATAGTGGGTTTATTAGCACCATCAGTATCAGTGGTAGTTGGAAAGATTCGATTTCGAAGCTACGATTCTAAAAGAAAAGTCTCCACCAAATAGAACTATATAATCTGCGTATTCTAAGTCAGCAATTTAATCTCTTGTTTGAAGATTAATCCTGGAATAGTCAGACGATGAAGTTGCATGCATATGACAACGCTAAATAAAGGTGGGGTAAGCGAACGACCCTGACGAACATCACTTGAAGTAAGCTATTCCGATGACAGTTCGCCATAAGCTTTGACTCGATCAATAGTGTTCGAGTGGAGAGCCTGTACAATGTTAATGTACTTCCTTGCTACATCTTTCGATGATAGACACTGCCACAGAATCTTACGATCAATGGAGTCGAATGCCACTTTAAGGTCAAGGAATACGACTATAGTGTATCTGTGTTGTAGAACCCACCGAAAGGTGAATATTTGGTCTATACATCCATGACCAGGTGTTAAACCAGCCTGATTTTGTCGGGTTTGCTCTTCACGAGTTCCAGTTAGACGTCGAAGTATTATTGAGGCTGATATTTTAGACACTATATTAGTTAAACTGATTTATTTGTATTCGTCACGAGAGGTTTTTTGTCCGTTAATATAGACTGGGATGATTAGTGATCGAGACCAGTCCTAAACATCAGTGGAAAGATTCAAACAACCAATACAAGATGAGTTGAACTTATTAGTAGTGTTGATCATAAAGCTTTAATCATGGTTATGTTGTATCTCTGTAACTAATGTTTCATCGATCTTTATCCAACAATATCCACTTTTTTAACTGTCAGCATACAGTTAGTTACGTGGTATATATATATATATATATAATGTTGAGTAATATGGGTTTTTTTCAAAAAACGTTCTAAAATTTAATATTCCTTTCCATTGAACATTAGTTTTCTAGTGATTGGCAGTGTTATTATTCATTTTGATTATGTATTTCATCATTCTTAGGTATATAATTCTGGTATAGCAAATTTAATTCTTAAAATTAATTTGCTACTATTTTCTCAAGATACTTATTTATTTATTGAGTAGTCATACTCGGAAAGAAATTGTCTAGATATCACGAATGTCACTTTCTAGTTTGATATTCTTCAAGCGGTAACGGTTCAATCTTAATTTTAATGTGAAAATTAATCCAAAGAAAACAAACTGTTTAGTCAGTCAACCAGTTAACTAACATTATAACACAGTACACATGATGTCATGTTACTTAAATTAGTGGCTATATTGCAACTTTTAATCGATTGTAGTCAAACATTAGTCTGATTTCGGTTCAGTGATGTCTTTGGCTGTGTTGAATTTGAGTCATATCGTCAAGTTCAATAATACCATCTTGTTTGAACTCTATACAAGGTAATCGATTGAATCTCTGGATGAATATTTTAATTTAATGTAGTTCGATATTTTTGGTGGTTACTTATATGCCTTACGTTTTTATCACCTACCAATAGAAAATATGTTCTACTACTTTTTAATTGTGGTCATCTTCACTGGGATAAACCATCTTATCCATATTTAATTTTATCTGGTGTCATTTATACTATTATTCTGCAAATGTATATCTTTTCCAATTTTACGTTGTTCATGGTTGACTGCTATTTATATAAAATCAGAAACAGTAATTGATAGTAATAATAGAGGATTGTGTCTGGCAGTAGAATATTGGACGCGCTTCCCGTCCTATTCGGAAATCATCAGCTGGATATGCCTGCCACATCTGAGTGTTGATGCTTACATTAAGATTCATGTCCAGTAAGTTTTGCTTCAAATACCCACCCATTGTTCACTGAGCTTGTTTGCCCAGATAGTTACTAGCTTGTGCAATGTATATGGTTTTTATACCATTATTAACGGGGTTTCGGTCCTCAGTAACAACAACAACGGGATCATTTGAGCATTACTAATGTTGATTTCATAATAATAATAATAATAATAATAATAATAATAATAATAATAATAATAATAATAATAATAATAATAATAATAATAAACAATAGTGTTACTGAGTTGTTTTTTAAACCAGATGCTTCACAACGTTTATGTTTGATGATATTACCCCTCTTTTTTGCAATCTGACATTCTCCCCGGGCTTATCTCTGATCTCAAACTAACGTTCATACATTGAATCACTAGTTGCAGCTCAAATGAACAGTGTACCCCATTGTTACATATTACCGCTTCATAATATGTAATACTTGCTAATTATTTTGTATAAATGAAGACATGACAACTACAAAATAATGCATCACCACTAGTCCATATCAGAATGGGTTTTGTGGAGAGTTTTAGAAATTTCACAGGTTGAAATCATGAGTCGATTGAAGCTAGACCACCATGGAAAACCTGGAAGTACTGGACGGCCGTTTCGTCCTAGTATGGGACTCCTCAGCAGTGCGCATCCAGTAGGTCCTGGGTTCGAATCCTGCGTGGTGCGGGATCGTGGATGTACACTGCTGAGGAGTCCCATACTAGGACGAAACGGCCGTCCAGTGCTTCCAGGTTTCCCATGGTAGTCTAGCTTCACTCGACTCATGATTTCAACCTGTGAAATTACTAGTCCATATCTTGTTTTCGTTGATGATTAATGTGCTTTGTTATTAGGTCGCTTTTGAGGTTATTCAGTTTGCACCGTATATTGTACTTCAAGGAAATATGTAAACTATTGGTTTGTTTTCTTGGTTGTATAGAAAAAAAAACTCAAGGACGACTGAATCCTGTACCACTCAGTATCTTCATCAGTGGAGAAATACTCGTTCCACTTCCCTGTTAAACTAAATGTTTTTATTGCACTCTGAACACATTTGTAAGCTGTAATGCTACTAGTTACTAGTTTATTATTAATTTTCTACCTAATTGATTGTTTTGACAATACTTCATTTATAATATAAGACAAATATTATGTCTATAATTGTTATTACCAAGTTCGTATGTACTTTTTATTCAAGTACATGATAATTGGGTCAAATAAACAATCTCGTTTGCATAATGATTACTCGATTTTTATTTATGAATATCACTTTTCAATATGTTTGTTTAATCCTAATACTAGTGTTTTCAGTCATATAAGACTGAAATATCAGTCGATATGTTCATGTCAGTCATCTGTCTATATCAGCAAATATCATTCAATGAAGCTGGGTTAGGCTGTGGTCAGATGTTGATATTTAACGCCACAAGATATAAATAGTTTGTTTGAAGTTGGATTTTCGTCGAGGCTTTGTCTTTAGCTGAAAATAGACTATGAACTTTTATCTATCTGTTCGATTTGATTAGTAGCAAAACCCTTATATTGAGTGACATGAATCTTATGTTCATAACTCTGAAGTGAGGTGATACAACACAGTTGTCTGGTTCTTAGTCTAGTGAATCGCTTGTATTTCAGTAAATAGTATATTTCTTATTATTATTTTAATTATGTACCGGTCTTAATCACTTAAGTATGTAACAGTGTCCACTTATCTTTTTGTTTTTGTTTTTTAATTTTTATAAGACTCTTCTTGACAATGAAGAAGTGAATTTAGATGAACTGGAAAATAACAGTAGCTCTCTCAAAAGGATCCAACGAAAAATTGGTGGTTCTGATTGGGTTGATTCAGATGGTGATACAACAACAAGTCCAGTAAGCAGAGGTCAATCAGAGATTGGGACTAGTAATACAGATGCTCAAAGATTAGCATTGTTGATTCAAAATCAATTGGATGCAATAAATAAAGAGATCAAAATGATACAGGTAAAGTTAACATCTGATCTTCTATGTGATGTAGGTTAGTAACAAAGTATGAGTTCGTGTATCTGTTTCCGGGCCATAGTTTTTGTTAGTGGCTCCGGTAATTCTAAGTGGCTGAATAAACCGAAGATCGAAGATCTCGTGTTCAATTTCCGCGTCTGGGATCGTAGATGCGCGCTGCAGGAGTTCTATTCTAGGATGAAACAGCCTTTCAATGCTTCCAGGTTTCCGATAGTAGCCTAACATGATTTCAATGAAGGAAATTTTTATCTCTGCTAGAAGTTCTCATAACTCCAAGGTTATACATAACCATTGTAAAGAAACATTGAATTATGTATTTTATCTGACTGCGACTCGAAAATTCAATCGTGTTTTGACTTATTATTTGTTCAGGCTTCCTGGTCAGTAACTCATGAATTCAGTGCTCGAAGTTGGTGACAAAATATTTTAATCCTAAAAAACCAATAAATGTATGAAGAGTTTATGCTAAATAACTCAACAGATTCTTACATATGACTGATTAATTCAAATTGGTTTCAGTGAACCATTTGTACAGGATTTCAAAAAATTGTGCTATCATAAATAAATTCACTGACTAGAAAGTTGTATTATTATTTCTTTAAAATTAGTTACTTTTTTGTACGAGAAAATTAGCTACATACAATAATTCGTCTGAGCTTGAGAAATTTTCCGACATATATCTTATTGATATTAAACTATAAGGTGATAGAACAATCGTTGATAAATATTGACAAATAAGGAGTAGATAACAGTTTATATATATATATATATATATATATATATATATATATATATATATATAATGTTTTATGCGTTTTTCGCGTATTTACGTGTTTAACTGAACCCAAACAGTCTCTATGTTACTTAACAATAGAAACTCAAGTTTCTCTTTCTCAAAATGATTAGCAATAAAATTTAGTAATGCATGATTTTAATATTGAGGTTTTAAAAATCATTATGGCCTCAAAATTCAATAATGAATATTAAAACACATTTGACTTATTTTGTAGGTTGTATATATATTGACTAGAGAAGTGGTCGATTTACAACTATCTCTGATAATTTTTTTTTATAGTTGGGCATACTGGAAAGTTATTCGAGCAAGCCATTCGAAACTGGGAAAATTCTAAAAACACTTTGTAAAGTCAACTCTCACTAGAACCTTCTAGAAAAAACGATGAACTTTGTCATACTGTACTCTGATTTGTTAACTACCTATCTTGTTACTAGATTTAAAATGTCTCCAGAAGTTTCCTTACCACTAAGTTTACCTATTAACTTCTTGTACATATACCAATGCATTTGTTAGCGATAATGTAATTAGTTGACCGAAGTACAAGTTTAATTGTTTACTTCATAAGGCTTTTTATTCAACTGACTTTTCAACATTTACTTGTGTTATTTTATTTAGGAAGAGAAACAAACTGCTGAACAGTTAGCTGAAGAGCTAGAATTACGTGTTGGTTGTACTGGTACAAATCGTAATGGCAGTTCACAGGGACAGTTAATCGATGATTATTACAATCAACAACGTGGCAATGATACAAACGAAGCATATTATTATACTAATCAAGATGGACGTCTTAATGCGAATAATGTTATGCCAAGTTTATTACCTAATTTTGGTCCAACTGGTTGGTCACCTCCACCATCACCATTAAGTTCTAGGTCAACACCATTCGGTGGTATTTCTAGTGATTCTTTCAGTGGTAGTTTTAATAATCCTAATCGAAATGCATCATCGTCAATATTATCATCTGTGGTAGTTAGTAAAGAATCTGAACGATCTATTCCTCAATATGCTGCTCCTACTCCATTGGCCGTAGATCCACGTCGTAATTTTCAACATCAGCCTATTCAATATTCACAACCGAGTAGTAATAGTGGTTTTATGTCGCGTAGTAGTCAATTTGAACAACAACGATCAATGTCAGCCGCTGGACGTCCATTGCATCAGGTAACTGATTCACTTAAACGATGTGAAAACATGTATATGTCTAATTTTATCATCATACATTGTAAAATTATGACATAGTTTTCACAAATGATATGTGTATGCGTATACTTTGTTACATGTATGAATTTGGTTCAGACTAATTAGCAGTGAAACAGTTATCGTTAATGGCATTGAAGGATCATAATGATATACAACACTGGTTAAAGTTGAAAATGTTTATAATCGGACCCCAACCTAGTGGCTCTAATGATTATACGTTCATCACAAGAACAAAATATCCTGGGTTCGATGCCTGGTGTTGTCGTGGATATCTCACTGTTGAGAAGTTTATGCGAAAACGAGGCGAATGTTCGGTGACCTATAGATTATAATGTTACATTAACAAAGATCAATCTGCGACGAATACAACCTATAAATCTAATATTATTCTCTTCTCTATTTGTCATGTATGCAGAATCACGTTCTAATATGTTCCAATGCTTAGTTTTTATTTATTGTAGTTCTGACTATAAACTACGCTTAATTTTACTCACAAGTATTTGTTTAGCTTTCATGTATTTATTCTTCCTAAATGTCTAGTTAATTAACAATAACACGCTATTCATTTTCTCTAGTAAAACGTTAAGTTTATTTACTATATATATAAAGTGATATACTAACACAATAAGTTTCAAAAAGACCGATCACATGCATGAACGAAATTTATAAATCACTATAGGGATTTTGTGTAAATTGTTGTGTTTTCGTAGTTAGCATAACGGACTGAATCTACTTAGACTGGCATTAAAAAACAAGAAGCTGTGGACATTCGTATTGCCCTAGTATAGTATTCTTCAGCACCTGGGACCTACCGTTTTGAGCACTAGCACAGTTCCTGGAGTTTCTAGTGATAACCCATGACTAGTGGAGTTTGATCATATCGATTGTGAGATACCCACTCCAAGCGATGGAAAATGGATGTGCAGCATTGCGAATCAATTGAAGTTATACATGTATACAATTTCGTTCCTGCTCATATCTCTAGGCTTTAGGTGTTTGCTCGAGAAACTTAAGGCTATGTGTTTAGTCCCTTGTGGGTGCGGTTGTAGATGGGCACTGCTATGAAGTCCCGATATCGGGACGGAACAAATGTCCAACGCTTCCTGGTTTTCAATGTTGGTCTAAGGAAAATCGGTTCGTGATGTGAACTATTAACACTTTTGAAAAGTGATGATCAGCTAGGGAAATTGGAAGGTAAAAATACAAACAGTGAAAAACAATGTGAATCATATCACTCTGGCTAATAAATTAGTATTACCATGGTTAGTACAAATCACTTTCGAACACACATAGTGGGGTTGGTGTTAACCTTCGATGCAGCCAAGTTTTCAACAAACCTAAGTAGTCGCTTTATACAAAAACACGAAGGCTGAATTAAGATAATTCTAATAACATACTTCAATTGTGTTTGGTAATGAAAAAAGATGAATGTTTGTCACCTGCTCTTATTGAATCAACTGACTTTATTTGTTTACACAACTGTCTTGTTACAAACTTAATAATAGTTAGATACTTTAATGTCATAAGTGAATGTCACATCATATTGTGCTCTTCTAATTATTGCCTCCTTATTTAGTTACTAGTATGTTATTTTTATATTTTCGTATGCGAATTTTAAGACGTTTTTAAATGAGAATGAGTGATAGTTGAGGTGAATATTGTTTTCGCTCTTCCTTTACGGTATGTGTGCACAGAGTGATATTGAAACATATCGCTATGAAAATCTTTGATCAAATAAGTATGTCCTACATGCTAGTATACAAACACTTACAGGGTTAGTGACTGTTGTTATTTGTTGTAGTATAAACATATAAACTGTAAGTTGTTGGGTTATACTAAACATCATATGTTTTAGTTCATACAATTTTTGTTTACTCAAATAATACCGCTGTGAGCAACGGATCATCGTAAACTTATTTTTCATCATCCATCAAAACTTAATACCACAGTATACCTAAAATCATTTATAGGCTAAGCTAGTTATACTTACGACTTGTAAACGTTAAGCTATTACGACATAGTATCTTTTATTACGATAATTGATGTATTTGATGCGGTTAGTATTTTAAACCAGAGAGCTCGAAGCATCCCTATCAGTGTACTATGAATCACTTTTCCTGACCTGCCATTTTCAATATGACTATTTCTAGTGTTCAGTTTTATCCAACAGAATATATCTTTATTAAATTCACAAACCTATCTAAGTTAAACAACCGTTGAAAACCTAAAATGCAATGTATCGTCTTTTCGCCCTAGTATGAAACTCCTCAGTAGTGCGTATTCACCAAAGGTAATAGAACATGATTGCGCAATATAGTTGATTGCTTAAAGTTAGATTTGTGCATCATTGGATTCTGTGTTAGTGGTTTAGAGGTTAACTGTTCACTCACTAGACTTCTGGTCTCAGATTTGCGATTGCGCAGGGCTGAAATGAAATGCTCATATTGTTATACCAAGTTTATAATGATTGTCTTAAATCTGTTCATGATTTCTATGAAATTAAACAATCTCCACAACCTAAAACTTGAAAAACATATTTTATTGGCTCTGATGTGGATTATTGTTCCTGAAATTCATAGGGTTCTTAATTTACGTCATAAGGCGTATGTTTAATATTTATAGTACTGACATGTTATTTAAGTGTCAATCTGTCTACCTAGTCTTAAATCTCATACTTAACTACATTACTTTATATGTAAGTGTAATTAATCATTCGCCGATTACCTTATGGTAATCTTGATGATTCCTAACATTTTACAGTTCCAGGAAAAGAATTAGATACAAGATGAGACTGTATATCCAATATTTAATGATGATTAATGATATCTTTCTTGATTGTGTTAAGATTATACCAAAGATTAATCGAATTGCTAGCTGTGGACTTAATTGTTTAAACCTTTGAAACGCTTGATACATTGAGGCAATTTATTTTGCATGATTTGCAATGTACATTTGACCAACTCTGGTTTAATCTCATTCGTATTTGCATTTGAATCACACTGCATCATCTTTAAGTCATCCTCCTCTTAATGATAAAATGTTTGATGGGCTTGATAATTTAAATTTATTCATCTGAGTTTGCTTGTTCTGTCCCCAGACTACCGCCTTATCAGTGTTCACTTAGGTTGTTTTTTTGTGATATAGGGTCTTAGTAACGTTTAGCTAGAAGGTATGGTTCCTTTATGTGCTGAAAATAGATGAGTGTACTGAGAAATATGTGTATGCGGGATAGAGAATTTAGAAGGAGGAAAAAGTAATTGAGGTAGTAATTCAGTAGCCACATCAGTAATGAGAGAAATTAACAAAAGTCAGTCTCAGTAGTTCCAGTGGATAAAGCTTCGGACACTTGAAGCAAAAATGTACTGTATTCATGTCTTAGTGTATTGATCAACACTAGGATGTATTACAAGTACAACGAATCAAAAAGTCCCAAATACAGTGAAATACGCGTCCTGGATTCCATTGCTACCCACATGCCATATATACTAAAAATGTGTCAAGGCAATTTACGTATAACAATAGAGACTAGTCAATTGTAGTCCTGATTATTAACAATCGTAAAACTTCAAACCTATACCAGTTAAACCCATAAGTTGATGTTAGTGTTCGGTTTCGGATAAATTTTAAGTTTTATATCGACCTACCATGTTCTTCGCTTTCTTGTTAATATTCATTTAACGTTGTTTCGTAAATTGAGTCAATAATCGATTCAGTGATTTAATGTACGGATAGAGTGGTAAAAGTTTAGTCGAAAAAAGGATCACAAATCAGGCCTAAGAAAATGTTGGTTTTTTTCGTTTTCAAGGATTTATGTTTTTCCGTTGTTTGTGTTAGTTTTCAAAAGGAAATGTTCTGGTTTACAATCTTAGTACGAACATCAACATTTGGATATTTAGCAGCTACATTCATGTTCACAAGTCTTAAATAGAAAAAATCCACTCATTCTGGATTTGATTATCAGCCCATATTCAACTTTAATAGTTGAATACGTTTTACTTGTAGCTTGTTGATATTCCTTTAATCATCAGGCAGTCTCATATTCATATAATTATTAAATTGTCTCAGTTGTATTACTGGATATTTACTTTGTCCAATCTCATAATAATGTTGATCATCATTTATTCTAAATATTTATCGGTGTCGTCATTGTTGTATAGTGTTGTGTTGTCGATTCATTTGTTTTTTTCTCTCATAAAATGTTTTCATAAAGCTCATTCTCATTGTATAAATGTAACATTGATCATTCTATCTGACATTCTTAATTTTTCTTTCTTACAAACAAAACAAAAACTTCGCTGTATTCTACAAATGTGTATTATGCATCAAATCTAATATATATGTACATGTATATATGTGTGTAAGTCTCTGGGCATGAATGGTGGCAATTCATTGTCCACACCACATCTTAATCCTCAGTCATCATCCTCTTCATCTTCATCGCCATCTGTTGCACTGTTAGGTCAAAATTCACATAATTCAAATAAATTAACAATTACAACAACTACAGGAACAACATCAACATCTACATTAATTACTAATGGTTCAACTAGAAGTGTAACATTAGCTGATGCTATTGCTGGCCTTGAATTATTAGATCAAATGCGTAAAGAACGCAGTACACAACAACAACAACAGCCGAAGAACAATAAATTCACTTCATATATCACTCCTGAGAACCCATATGAATTTGGACCAGATGAATATACAACATCATCTATGGTAGAAACAAATTCTAACTCTGAAGTCATTTCTTCGGAGTCAAGTTCAAAATCCAGTCATGATCATCAACATCATCAGCGAGAACAACAACAGCATCAAAGGATACAACCAGTTGAAGAAACAAGACGATTACGAAAAGTCCCTAAAGATAATGATAGTTTTCTTGTAAAAAACAATGAATTTATTCCAACAGAGAATATAACATCAAAGGTATACAAATGTATATATATATCCAGTTTAAA